CTTCCATGCTGTTTAATGCTCTGTTTAATGGCTCAGTTCACTTCTAGCAGAACTTTATTATACAATGACCCATCTCTTGAATACCTTCACATAAGATGAGGGTGAGAACAGACATTGGAAGAGACTGTGAACTGGGCAAACTGCTGGTCTCTTGATCAATGGACAAGTTGCCCCTGGACTGGGCCCTGTTTAATTATAGGTATTGGCATGACTAGGATTCAGCAGCATAATTCAGGATCACTGAAGGCACTTCCACACAGCCCTATATCCCAGAATATCAAGGAGGAAAATCCCACAATATCTGCTTTGAACTGGATTGAGTCCACACTACCATATATTCCACTTCACAGCAGATATTGTGGGATTTTCTGCCTTGATATTCTGGGATATAGGGCTGTTTATATACACTCATGGGTAAATATTCTGATTTTACTGTGTCGTGGGTCCTTTATTTGTTAAAAAAATGTTTGGCACATTCTGAAGAACAATGCTCCTTCTTGACAAGCTATAAGAATAAAAACAAATAAAAGACTAGACAGTAAAGAAAATGTTACATGCAAACTCAAGATACTGATAAAACCAATCACTGAACAACCTTGAGCTATACAGAATATGTTGAAATCTGGCTATGGAAAGACAGGAGAAAAAAATTACAAGGATTCACAAAGTGCCAGTCATAATAATTAACCTTTAGGGAAGGGGGGGGGGGGCTGGTTTGCTTTTGTACTTATAGCTGATAGGGAAGGAGCACTGGGCTGTTTTGAAACATGCCAGCTGTTTTGAGCTATTACATTTAGTAGACTCAGGACCATATTTTTTCAATATACAATTCTTTTTATTGAATACAACTCACACAGAAACAAAAAATACAAGGAAAGAAAGCAAGGAAAAGAAAGAAAAGTAAATTTTTAAAAAAGATAAGATTGAATATCTTTGACATAATTTGAAAGCATAACAAAAAGCATAGTAGGCTTGGCTACACTGGCCCAAAACCCTAGAATCATTGTCAACCCACTTCTGTTTGTCTTCAGAATGCACAGCGGCTTCTAGCACATAACCAACGATTTCTGAATTAAAGCCAATTTAGTACCACTTCAGGTAAGTCAGGAGATACTTAGAGCCCTTCCACACAGCCCTATATCCCAGGATATCAAGGCAGAAAATCCCACATTATCTGAGTGTAGACTCAGATAATCCAGTTTAAAGCAGATATTGTGGGATTTTCTGCCTTGATATTCTGGGTTATAGGGCTGTGTGGAAAGGCCCCTTAGATTTTGCTGGAAACTGGAATATCTTAGAGCTTTGCAACAGTGTACACAGCTGGGTTGGGTTCATTTCAGATCAATCCCCATTCAGACAGACACTGTTATTTAAATTAACTATTATGACTGGCACTTTGTGAATCCTTGAATTTTTTTTCCTCTTGTCTTAGCATATTCTGTATGGTTCAAGGCTATTCGGCTATGGTTTTATCAGTGCCTTGAGTTTGCATGTAACATTTTCTTTAACTGTCTAGTCTTTTGTTTGTTTTATTCTTATAGCTTGCCAAAAAGGAGCATTGTTCTCCAAAATGTGCAGGGAAAGGGGATGACTCATCCTCCATGTCATCATCACAACTGTCTGCTGGCTATGGAACTCTGTCTGAGCACTTGACCATCAGGTTCATGTCTGCTGATGTCAGAAAAAGGCACCCACACAACCAACATGAAGGAGGGCTGATCAACCACAGTAACCTGCCCAGTATAATGCAGCCAAGGAATTGGGGATAACAGGATTCTAATCCCTGATCAACCATGGAAATACACTGGGTGATTTGGGGCAAGTCATACTCTATCAGCCTTAAAGGAAGGACATGGCAAATCTTCTTTGAATAAATCTTGCCATGACTGCCATAAGTTAACGTCATTTGAAGGCACATAACAGCAGCAATAAGAAACATAATCTTCTGGGAGATTTAGCAAATACCTAAAAGAGTGTCCATCTGGACTTGTCATCTATATGCCATAGGTTCTAAATGTTATTAGAGCTTTTTCAATTCACTGAATAACCAAGGATGAACTTTTCTCTTTCCATGCTGTATTATAAGCCTTGAAATCACAGAAAACATTTTGACCAAAGTTAATTTCCAAGATGTGGAGAAATAATTTAATCACACAGGTAATGCAAACTTCAAAGATTGATCTAAAGCAAAGATTAATTTAAAATTAAAATCACTGACAGATGACAATTAGGAAATTCTTTTCATTGAGGAACCCTCAGAGTCAAGAGAAAACAGGGTGTTCCAGAATCTTGCTCCATAAAAGGGTATCAGAGGCTGGTGCAATTGATTATTCAGTTATCACTAGACACTGAGGATTTTAATAGTCTTGTCAGAAATATCATTTTGGAATGGGAATTTGGAACCCATATAATGCAGTTTGAACTGGATTGAACTGACCGTATAATGCAGTTCTAACTAAATCTAGCTTCAGATAGAGAGAAATTAGTGATTTACAAAGCCCAGTATTATCAGTTCTAACTGGCAGTTACTCTCCAGAGATTCACGTAGGATTCTTTCCTAGCCCATGAAGATCCTTGTTTTTTCTTTGTTGGTACTCTCCCAACCGAGTATTAACCAATCTTGACCCTGCTTGTCTTTTGAAAGGAAATTAGATTGGGTGCGTTCACAGTAATATAGCGTCCATCCATGCAGGAAGAACAAAGTGAGACTCGATAACAGCAGGACAGTGAAGAAATGTGTAGAAATGGCACTGTAAACAAGTGTTAAAGAACCAATGAGATCAAGCTATCTACCATTGTGAGCATTTCTACTTCTCCATTTGTTCATTTTCTTAGTTACTGCTAGTTTTAATGAAATACTTATTTTTTTTCAATAATTTTGCCAATTTATTTTGTTATTTTATTATTTTTGTAAGAAATAAAACCGGGTCTGTGGTGCAACTGGCTGGGAGTCAGCTGCATTTAGATCACTACTGAGTTCGAAGCCAGCCTGGATCAGAGTGAGTGTCCAACCAATTTGTGTAGCTTGCTGTCGACCTTTGCAGCCCGAAAGACAGTTGCATCTGTCAAGTAGGAAATTTAGATACCGCCTACATGGGGAGGCTAATTCAACTAATTTACGATGCCATAAAAATCTCCAGCAAGCCTGCAAAGAATGAGGAAGTACTTCATCAGTGTCACAAGTGAATGGTGAAACAACAGCTCCCCTGGTGGCCAGAATACCCTCGTGAAAAGTTGGAATGTTAAATTGCCTCTGTGTCTGTCTATATATGCTGTGTGTCTGTCTATATATGCTGTGTGTCTATGGCATTGAATGTTTGCCATGTATATGTACATTGTAATCCGCCCTGAGACCCCTGCGGGGTGAGAAGGGTGAAATATAAATACTGTAAATAAATCAATAATAATGAAATGGCAAGCAGTATAGGAACAGAGGTCTGATGGTGATTATGATTTTATTTCTTACTTGTCTATCCTTGTGGCTTGAGGTGTATTACAACATCACTAAACACATAATCATTATTTAAAATGCACATATTAAACTGCATATACCAAAAGCACCAGATCATGTCTGATCTTCGAGAATAAGTAGAGTCAGCCCTGGTTGACCACCAATGAAGACTAGGTAGTAAAAGAAAGAAACCAACAAACCGCTTCTGTGTGTTCCTTGCCTGAGAAAACCATATGAAATACATGGGATCACTATGAGTTGATGGGTGACCTAAAAACACATACACACTGAGAGAGAAACTTTTTTAAATTTGAATAAGAACAAGCAATAATTTACTGTAGTACTAATGCCTCTAGTTAGTTATGACATATTCCAAATGGCTAAATCGTATTGCTGGTCCTAGTTAGCGAACATCTTTTAAATGCATCCATTTTTCTTACATCAGCAAAAAATCTTTACTTACCTATTAAGAAAATGCATGTTGGGGGATATTTTGTGCAAATGATCGGATTGTATATGTCAAGACAAACTGACAGTGTTAACGGGATGTAAATGAGACCCTCCTGAACAATAGGGAAGACATCTGTGACACTGGAATCTACAGTGGGCAAGTTATTGACAACCTAATCCATAGGTCATGGCTAATTAACAGATGGCTTGACTTGTTGCTCTCCATGAGAGTCCATACTATGATTTATTAAAATACAAGTCAATCATTTATGGATTCATTATGAACTATTTAAATGGTGATTAAAGAGAAAGATATGGACAACATTAACTCATGGGGTCCACTACTAAATGCAAGTCACTAGCAAAGGTGATTTCAAACAGGAAAATAAAGACTTAGACTGGCTCTACACTGCAGAATTAATGCAGCCTTACACTACATTAAGTACCATGGTTCAGTATTTTGGAATGCTGGAATTTGTAGATTGTGAAGTCCCAGCATCCTTTGGCAGAGAAAGCTAAAGACCATGTAAAATAACAGTTCCTATGATTCCATAGCACTGAGCCATGGCAGTTAAAATGATGTCAAACTGCATTATTTCTATGGTATAGATGGTATAGATGCAACCTCATATGGTGAGGACATGGGTAATACTGATTTCCTCCATCTTTGTGCACACAACAGTCTAACTGTTGTGATTGTTAACTAAAGTAATATTTCACGGCTCTTTTCCAACTGCACCCATCTGCTCAAAGAGAAAGACTTGTCTCTCTAATGCAGTTAGTAGCCAGTGCAGCTAGTTAGTAACCAACTGCATTAAATCACTACTAACTGAGAGGTCATGAGTTCAAAGCCAGCCTGGGTCACAGTAAGCTCCCAACCATTAATAGTCTAGCTTGCTGTTGACCTATGCAGCCCGAAAGACAGTTGCATCTGTCAAGTAGAAAATTTAGGTACCACTTTATGCAGGGAGGTTAATTTAACTAATTTACAACACCATAAATCCTTCAAGCAGCATTCATAAGAATGAGGAAGAACTCCTTCAAAGACTCAGTGTCACAAGTAGACGGTGAAGTGGCAGCTCCCCCTGTGGCTGGAATCAAGCATACCCTCATGAAGCCTGAAAGCTGGAATGTTAAATTGCCTCTGTGTCTGTCTATATATGTTGTATGTCTAATGGCACTGAATGTTTGCCATGTATATGTGCATTGTAATCCACCCTGAATCCCCTGTGGGGCGAGAGGGGCATAATATAAATAAATACTGTAAATAAATAACCAAGCAGAAATATTTTATGAAAATAATATTTAATGCAACAGCATTATTTTTGAGGATGAGAGGTGAGTTAAAATGACTTCTTTTGATTAAAAGTCCTAGCTCAACCAGTCTAATACAGCTCAGGGGAGAAAAACACCTGGCAAAACTGTTCCTAGAGAATGGGAGAGAAGAAGAAAACTGGTGAGACATGGTTCAGGTGAAGCAGTTTACCTCTCCCTGAATTAAAGAAACAGTAGGATTGCTTACTACCACTTCTCTTATCATAGCTTTTTAAAGAAAAAGTATTCCATACCAGCTGTATAGAAAGGAAATCGGTGTTCTCATGGGTTTACCTCTGTCCAAGATTACGTGGTGTTTGAAAGGATGAATCACCTTCTGGAGATATATTTTACAGCCAGAGGAACTGCAGCCAAATCTAGACCAGAAGCATTCATCCAAAGCAGTGATAGGGCCACACCTGTGCACGGACAATACATTCACACCGCCACCCTCCCCTGTTCCCAAAGAGGCACCTACTGTGTGAAATTGGTTTCACTCACACACAAAAACTGCACAGAACTAAAGTGTTTAGGAAAATTATGAGTGTCTTTGTACAATCCTCTGGGAGAGGCAAGAGCTGAATACATTAGATGAATGATGAATTGATGGGTGAGTGAGTGATGAATGGATGATTTCAATTCATTTTGATAGATGTGTCCTTCTTTGTGATATCTGCATGTCAATTCCGATCAGGGAGCAGAAGCATTCAAAGGAAGGCAAAACCCAAATGCTTCTAACTAAAACCAACAAAACACATGGGTGAGATGCCGTTCTCGTCAGTGCATTTCTATTATCTCCATTTATGCCTTTAAAGTATGCATGTAGCTATGGCAACAGGTAATAGAATTTTTCCAGCAGCTACCCTTTCTTGCAAAACAACTGGGGGTGTTCTTTGGAATTTCATTGATGAAAGAGTCTGTGAAATAGTTTTTTTAAGGGAGAAGTTTAGACCCATAGCTAAAGACTTCATCACACTAGGGCAGTGTTTCTCAATCTGTGCTCCTCCAGGTGCTTTGGACTTCAACTCCCAGAAACCCCAGCCAACTTACCAGCTGTTAGAAATTATGGGAGCTGAAGTCCAAAACATCGGGGGGAGCACGGTTTGAGAAACTCTGCACTAGAGCATCTATCCACTTTAAATCCAGTGGCTGCCTCCTGCAGAATTCTGGGGTTTGTAGTTTAGTGAGGCCCAGGATCTCTCTGGTTGAGCAGTTTAAAGGCCCCTCCCTTAACTACAAACTTCAGAATTCTGCAGAGGCAGCCACTGGATTTAAAGTGGATAGATACTCTAGTGTGATGAGATTCTAAGAGGCCTTTGAGGTTCATTGCCTCACTGTAAATCCTGGATGGGCAAGTATGTTCTTCAAGCTGCTCCTAACCCACCTCAAGTCTAGCCCCCCAAATAAAAGTGTCCAATTGCATCCAGAGTTTACAATTTCCTTTTATTTGCATTATAGTGTTTACATTACCCATGAAAAAAAGTTTTGCCTCTCACAAAACTGTACAAAATTTGCTCATCTCTTGTATTTGTATTTTATGTAAGCAAAGAGTGCACCGGTGTGAGACAAAATGGTAGTCTGCAAATTAGTGCTGATCTGTAAGATGTTGGGTTTTGTTCTGTAACCAGTTTCTCAGGAAACTCAGGCAATATGAAAATCACATGGTAGAAAGTCCTAGGAACACTAGGGAAAACGTTGCTGGCTTACCATATCTGGTTGCTTGAGATGCATTGTTGTACATTAAAATCCTTCCGCATCTGAGGAGTATCAACCGTCTGTCACTAAACTTTGTAGACAGAAAGGTATAGACAGTTATACTGAGATAAACTTATTACATTGCAAATTCTTATACTGTATATGCCCAGATATAAGTCTAAAAACTTTTGTCAAAAATAGGACCAAAAAAAACCTGATCTGACACCCACTTTCATGCAAGTACTATACAGCAATTCTTATAAAAAGAAACTATTCCCTTCTCTATCTAGAGTAGCAAAAGTGAGGACTTAGTCTGTTCCAAGGCAACCTAAAAGAAGCAACAAGTCCCTCTGTACTCTTCACTCTAGTAAATCTTCTGTTCTTTTGAATGCCTGGGAAGGAAAATGGTAATGGTTCTTTTGTGCTTTCCCTGAAAAGTGCATTTTTAATATAAAAGTTAACACTGTATCTTAACTTTTATCTACAATGAACCATGACAAAATGCCTTTTTGAATACCTGGGTGGGGAAATGGGTTTCTGGTGCTTTCACCTCTCTTCAGAATGACCCTCAACTTATCTGTGGATCATACAGAAATCAATAATTTGGGGTGCCAAATCTGCCCTTAACCTATATATGAAGTTGACTTATAAATGAACATACATGGTAAATATTTTCCCTCTCCTCAGTTTTTATTTTTAAAAACTCATGAATTTGTTTATAAAATGTTCCAGAATGAAATTCTTGTTCAAATCCATGAACATATTTTCCCCAGATATGTCCATGTTTCCTGAATATATGCACAAACACCAGCATTCAGACAGGAAAATGTATGTGTTAAGAGGGGAGGGGGGGGGGGTCCCATCCAGGAGTTGGAAAGAACATGTTTCATGTTGTTGTTCATTCGTTCAGTCGTCTCCGACTCTTCGTGACCTCATGGACCAGCCCACGCCAGAGCTCCCTGTCGGCCGTCACCACCCCCAGCTCCTTCAAGGTCAGTCCAGTCACTTCAAGGATGCCATCCATCCATCTTGCCCTTGGTCGGCCCCTCTTCCTTTTTCCTTCCACTTTCCCCAGCATAATTGTCTTCTCTAGGCTTTGCTGTCTCCTCATGATGTGGCCAAAGTACTTCAACTTTGTCTCTAGTATCCTTCCCTCCAGGGAGCAGTCGGGCTTTATTTCCTGGAGGATGGACTGGTTGGATCTTCTCGCAGTCCAAGGCACTCTCAGAACTTTCCTCCAACACCACAGCTCAAAAGCATCTCTCTTCCTTCGCTCGGCCTTCCCCAAGGTCCAGCTTTCACATCCGTAGGTGACTACAGGGAATACCATGGCTTTGACTAGG